CTTTCCCAGTCCCTCCTTACTCTCCCAGGACTCTTCTTACAACTAGCACTCATTCTGAATGCATCCTCAAATGCTAGGATAGGCTTCTCTACCATTACATCTTCTACAAAAGCCTACCCAAGAAATCTTTCCAACCCCTCAATGACAATGATGCAGGAGACAGGTGACCTAGACCAAATGCAGGCTACAGCTTTGTTTCATACAGTCTACAGCTATGACTTTTAACGTTATGACTGAGTACTGTTAATCTCACTCACTAATCTTAATCTGGACATTAATACATGGCCTGACAAACGTGTGGAAGTCCTAATCAGCCCTGGGGAAGGAAAATGTTCTCAGCTCTCTACTAAGCAAGGTCCCAGTAAAAACACAAACAAACAAAACCAAAAGCATAGGTTACCCGCCAAGTCAGTATCTGTTCTGAACTTGAGAAACTTAAATTGACAGGAGACCAATAAAGCAGCATGTCAAGTTCACAGTTCTATAAGAAGCTTTTCAAACATAAGGTCATCCTATTCTACCAGAAAGCAAAAGTTCAAGACTTAAGCGTTGCTTTTGGCTCCTGCACCTCAGTGCGCTGCCAGTGTGCATGCTACACTTTTAATGCAAGAAAAAGCAAAACTAGAGCTGTCAGATCAATTATCTTCAGTGCCATCCAGCTTCAGTTCTTGACTTATTAGAAGAGCTGTGCAAAATCTTCAGTGATTTCAAAGCCTGTGAGCATGACATGCCAAGACAGACTCAGACCACTCAGCAGTCTGATCTGAAGTCTAAACTCTTCCAAGAGGGGATAACATGAACTGTTTAGAGTTAATCCCATCAGAGTTGGGATTATAAAATTGTTTTGTCTGCTGGTCTGGAAGCTAGACAAAGATTTGTCTCTCCAGAAAAGGTTACTGGTATAGTTACCTCTCTGTTCCCATAGCTTCTAGGTGATAGACTAGATTTCAACTCTTTAGACGCATAGAAACTCATAGAAATGTTGGCAGGAAAGGATCTATGGAGGTATTTAATCCAACTTCTGACTCAAAGCATGCCTAGTATCAACACTATATCACATTGGCCCTGGTTTTGCTTAGTCAAGTGTTTAAAATCTCAAAGGATGCAGGTTCTACAGCTTCCACAAATGATCTGCTACAACACTGGAATACCTACCTAGGAAAGGCTTATTTTCCCTCCTAACATCCAATCTGAGACACCCAAGAGTTAATAAGGGCGAACAGCATTGTGTGCCACTACTAAAAATAGCTTGGCATCACTGTCCTTCTAACCTTCCTTCAACTAGTTGTTGGTGTCTACCAAATTCCCCCTTAGCTTTCTTTTTGCCACACAAGAGACAACGAAGTACCTCAACCCCACCTCACAGGTACTGTAAGTCTCCCAACAGTCATGCTGGTTCTTTGCTGGATCAATGGAACCGGGTAACACAAATCGCTGAGCGGGAGAGACTCCAGCCCAAAAGGTAGCTCTACACACAGGTTTACACAAGACTGTGCATCGAGTTCTAGCCCAAGGGGACCCCACAATGTGACCACAACACACTACTGGATGCACATCAATGAGGAACTAGCAGCGAGAGCACACATAAGTGAGGTTTAGCAGGCTTACCTTTTTGGTTGGTCTCTGCAGGATCTTTACCAGAATCACTGCTCTGTTCGGAAGACTTTAGCGGCTTGGTACTTAAGGTAGTAACATTTTCCTCAGACACGAATGAAATTTTGGGTAACAGAGAAGCAGCTTCTGCAGAGAACCGTACCTTCACACTAAATAAACAAAGAGGTTTTATACAAAATGAAAGCAAACATTCATAAAGAGGTTATCTGTCATAGTCTACATAAACCGCATAAAGGAAAATCAACTTGTCTTCACTTGTTTTTTTAACACAGAGAACAGGCAAGCACCAGATCATGACTTACAACAGCCTGACATTGAACTCATCACAACGGGACTATAAAAACTGTTTACATCAAATATAAAGAGCAGCTGAAGAAAAATAAGTTTGTTCAGTTTCGGTAACCAGAGTCTCATTAGAAATCATGTTTCCACACAGTTACAGTTGCTCTTGCAAAAGAAAGCAACACAGCCTCAAAGGTACTTCCATCAAATAGATAATTTGAGACAAACAATAAAATGGCATATTCAGTGCAAAAGCTGCAGAAGAGACCCAAGACTTCAAGCTCATGCCTTCAGCACAATTAAGGTATGATTCTTTTGCCCTATGTCCTCTTATCCCTTCAACATACAGCAAGAATTCTTGGACCATTTTATACTGCAAATTTTTTTTCTTTCACTTTTCACCTCAACTCTCATGTAACCCATTAAAAAATAAACTACATGCACAGAAGGTTTCCAAGCCCTTAAAGAAGTTTCACAAGTATTACATTGGCTTCAACTAGAGAAATAACTTTAAAATATAGTGTACACTATTTACTCACACTTGAGTTTTGAAGTCCAGAAGCAAGATCACAACAGAGACATCTGGCTCTGGTTTCTTTTTCAAGATACAGTAATCCACTTCTTCATCCTGGTAATATAAGCAAAACATCTTTGAAGTGCCCTCCTGTTTACAAGAAGCAGGCCACGTTCCCCTCCAGGTAGAGATTACCAGTCCAGCAAATTGTAAAACTGAATTATCCTTAACAACTTGCCCATGTCTAAAGGTGTCCACCTGCACCCCTTTTTTTTTTTTATTTCTTCCAACCACTCCTGGACTAAGGTAGACTATGAGATATCCCCAGCTTAGAAAAGTAAGGTCGCATCTCTTACCAGGTAAGTAGAGAACCCATCATTCCTTGTTCGATCCAAACTGAACCCCACCTACGAGACAATTGAGAAGAATCTGTCAAATTAACACAGTTCAGGTTCCCCTAATATCAGAAGCCAAATCACCAATGAAAGAATCAAAGATACTGCTCTCTAAATAAATTAACCTATGTTTAAGGCAGAATCCAGGTATTTTTCTCATTACCTAATTAGACAGAAAAAATTATTCAAATATAATAAACTTGCTGCTTCATCCATATCCACCAAGAATAAAATATAAACTGGTTCAAACCCAAAGTAATGTAGAGTACCTTCTGTCCCTGAACCTTTTAACTTATTTCAGTATTTTTCCGGATTTTTTTGCTTGAGGAAAACATTTAATACTTTTATTACTAAAGAGGTCAAACCATGCAGAATGTAATGATTACAAGATACATTGCAATGCAACACGACAACAGTGTGAAAATCTCACATCAGAGGACTGCTTAGGAAATCATGTTCAATGCAGGTTACAGATGTGTCCATCGAGTTCAGCAGAGGATCTAATAAGTTAAAGTTTATCCTTCAAGCAGAACGGATAGTGCTCAAAGATAAGTCTCACAATATACATATCCTCATAAAGGGATCACAGTGGGGATCAAAGCCAACAGCACCACCAGTCAGGATCTGTCACCTCAAACAAGTTCAAGCATCCAGCGCAAGGGCAATTTCACAGTCATTGGACTCAAAGTAACTTACTGATAAGCTGCTCTTGTCATCAGAGCCCACAGGTGGCTTCAACGAAAGGTTGCTGACACTGACTTTCATGAAACCATCCTTGAAGAAGCCAAAGGTATTTAGGTGCACTTTCTGCCTCACATCATCCTTTAAGAAAGAAAAGCAAGTTTACAAGTCATACGCAGCGATCTCCAGCAGCAAAGGAGCAAGGTGACAGAGATTGACGCTTACTTAAGTATTCATGCAAAACATCTATCTGATCATACCAGGAGCAAATTTCTTTAGGATACCTTCAGATACAACCAATTATTTCACTGGAATCATCCAACTCTTCCAATCACCTGAATAGCAAGAACTTTCAATGCAGGTGTCTTTGCTAATTACCTGGCTATACTACTGAGGAATATGCAAGGAAAAAGTCTGGAGAAAATTAAATATCTGGCATCACTGATTAAACAAAATATTGCTACCAAAAAAAATACTGTAGACAAATCAAGACAACTACTGTTTGAACGCTAGCTACTGTCATTGCAACAGACTGAAGAGGAATTAGTTGACTATAGTGATCTTACCTAACCGAGAGCTAGGTTTTGGCAAGTGTTTAACAAGTATCACAGTGTACTGTCATCCCATCAGATCTTCTACGTTAGGCAGGGTCAATGTTTGGACAAACACCTGACTCACTGGAAAACTAAGTGTATGGTGTAGATGAGAAAATTTCTTAATGTAGTCCCATTCCTCCAAATGATTTTTAGCAAGGCCTTGTGTCTTGTAAGTAGAATAAATACCAAAAACTGGCTATGTGGGTTTGAACAGAATCACTTGGGTTAGTTTCTCTAACAGGAAAATTCCAATCCTCTCCTCTGCTCCCAGTCTTAGTTGCAGAATAATTTAATTCCTCTCAGTCTGGCAAGGGAACTGTTGAAGTTGATCCTTTTCCATACCTTGCTCAGCCAATAGAGGTTAAAGTATAGTGAGTTTTTTGTTTGTTTGTTTTAAATAAGGAGGTCACTAAGGACCTCACATGAAGAGTAGTAAACATTACACACAGTTGCCACATCAGACAAGGAAAGGTCATATCCCTGTTACTTTGCATTCATAAATCAATAAATAAGTATGCAGTTGGACTCTCAATCCTACTAGATCCTTAAGTGGAAGAAAAGCAGAAACAGAGCAACAAAAATTAAAAAGCAAGTTTATAATGTGATTTAAAACACATTTACAAATCACTAAAAATAAAAAAAAATCTTTCTTCCTCTTGTTTCTTCTAGGAAAAGATAATCAAATTGCAGAATACTTCAAGCAGAGCAGTCAGCTGCTAAAGGCAAACTAACTGTTCGAAACAGTGTACTAGAGACTGAGCTAAGAATTGTAGAAGTACAATAAATTCTCTCTTCCTTTCCCCCCCAGTATTGACACCTCTGCATAAAACATTCCTGACACATAAATATCACTCACTGCAATAGCAGGACACTAATCCTGACACAGCTAACCTGTAATGAGATCGCCCTAATAGAATCAAGTTAACCTGGCAAATAACCAGATGGTTCCCTTAATGCTCAGAAGAGGGAAAAAAAAAAAAAGAAAAAAGAGGTAGTGACACATAGTCCACAGCAGATGCTTTGTTCAACAGAGTATTATAGCTATGCTGTCTTCGGGTTCTAGGTCACTTAATGTGATTGAAACAAGAGCCCATCTGGTTCCTTTATCACTGCTTTCAATATAATTTCCCAGTCAGAAGATTAATACTAGCTCTTTACATAGCACATCATATGTATTTAACCACATCTGGACAGATAAGCATTTGTCTGGGTCATTAGGTAGAGAGGAATATGAAGGGGGATACAGTGTCATCCTGCCACAAGGTCTTTTGCACCTTGTAAACGTGACCAGAGACAGCTGCTTAATTCAGAGTACTTGCAAAAGCTATTCAGTTCAATTTAAGGTTATTTACTCTGCCAGTTTACTAATATGCTCCCCCCCAACAAAAGATAATTAATATACAACACACTTTCCTCCTTGGTTTTATCTCAGCTTTGAGTGCTTAGAGTTTACAGATTTAGTTCACAAATCCTTCAGCTTTACATGATCCCACACACACAGTCACCAGTTGCCACCAAGCAACAGTACGCTCTCCAACAGCATCTACTGCTCCACACACTGACAGCATAAAGATACTGGCTTACTAATTGTCTCACCTCTCAAGAGGTTTACCGGGTTGGAAGAATCTGGCTTTTGTTTATAATCACTCAACTGCTGACTTCAGAAATAATCAATTTTAAGTTTACAAAGGTGTGAACCCATACAAGTGAATACTTAAGCATCTAGTTGTTAGCGCACACATTATTTCAATTTACATACGGATGCACTTTAACAGTAAGCCTGCTCCTATGAGAGGAGATGATCTGGGACTCATCACTAACAGGCTACAGTCAAACAGATACAGCTTATTTCCATAAGAAATCTTCCCCACTTCTACTCCTTTAGGATAAAAATTGATCCTGAAAAATTTGGATAAATAAGTGGCATCCAAGATCCTGTAGCCCAGAATGAGCAGAGAAGTATTATTTAACATTTTACCCCAAAATCTAATTGGGATCAAGCTATCAGTACAGTGTAAGTTTTATCAGAGAGTGCTTACCTTTACATGAAAGGAATTTTATTACTTGTGTGAGACTAATAGCAAGACTTATGATTTGTGTGAGACTAAATGAATTATTTTGAAAGGTATATTCAATTTCAGCAACCGAAGCCCGAGAGCCACCAACATTAAAATGCCACAAGTATTTACAAACAACCACTGAAAAATAACATCTTCCAAATAATAATTTAACATAAAATTACAATCTTGACAATATCATAAAGATGGAAGTCAGTTAATTGGAAAGATAATTCACTTTAGTGAGAAACTAACACCACAGCTGCTACACAGCATTGTCAGTCAGATGGTTCCTCTTGAAACTGGTATGTGTTGGCTACTTGCTAGCAACTTAACTGTGTGCCGGACAAGGGCCTCCTTTAGACCAACTTCCTCATTCTCTGAGACAGTTTGCCATTGCATTATGCAAAACATAAGGCTTCGATATTATAGCATTCAACTGTTAAGACAACAAAAATAAATCTTATTTTTGGTCAAGAGAAACATTCCAACTACCAGCTACTTCTGGAAACCTCTGAAAATTGTTTCCATCAGTCTTCTATAACTTCAATTTTTGTGGGTTTTTTTGTTTTGTTCTTTAACATCTCATTAAAATAATGAAGCTGATAATTGCTACTAAGGAAGAGAATCTCCTTTGACAAGGTTAGTCTAACAGCAAGATTCAAACAAATCATTTTTCTAACTCAGAAGAATTAAATCATCTTGTATGCCTTTATAAAGATAAAAAGATATTTTCAGAACAGGAAATCGCTCAGACTGTGGCTTGCTTTTCTGACAACAAAAAAACCCCTTCACCTTAGCACGCTAATTACAAAGACAGAAGAATGAGGCTATTCTAACTTAAGCAATAACAGCTTGTTTGCGGAAACCTAATATCAAACATTGACAGAAAACTGCGGCCTTTAGCTTGGCACAGCATCAAAGCACGCTTACAAGCAAGGAGCCAATGGCAAGAACATCAGGAGATTTCATTGTGAAAGGGTACAGTTGTTGGAGCCTGATGTTTACATAAATGCTGTAAAGTGGCAGATGAAGTAGAAAGGGAGAAACCCTGCTTTAACAGTAAAGCTCGTGTTTACCCAAGAGGTGGACAAAGGCATTAATGCACTTCTTTCCGCAGTGCTTGGTAGGTCAGTGTTGCAAGTCACACAAAATACCTACAAAACTAAAACCATACCCCACTTTGATTATAAAAATCAGCAACCACAGGTAAGTAATTGATCCAGGCAGTTGAGAGACACCCTAACAGGAACTAGAAGCTGTAATGTTTGCTCCTGAGGCCAGTTTGAAAGTCTTCTATGTAAGGAAAAAGCATCACCCCAGGAGAAATTCTTCTGTTGGTCACAAATTCCTCAAAACAATAACATAATCAGCACAAGCCTCCTAATTTATTGCTTCAGAGAAAAGTTTACTTTTCCTGAAGAACAATATTCATGTGGTTGCACATGAGACAGCTACATAGTCTGGAAAATTCCCTGCAAATAAGTAATGAACATCCCCCTGGCATTCACTGTATCCCAAAGGTTGGAAGAGAGCTCCTGCAGAGTTTTGGTGCTCTCCCTAAACTGCTACAAGAACAGAGTAATACTGGTTCTAGTCATCCACCACTTTATTAACTTCTTCCAATGTTTACACTGGCAAAATATTGCACATCGTTGACAACAAGAGTAAAATCAACAACCTCATTCTGAAGATTTACAGAGCACTTCATGAACTATACAGAAGTCCTTAAAAAGCATCATCCAAACGCACAGCCCCTCCATCACATTATAACTGTGCAGCTTTACATTTAAAACACAACAGAGAGCAGCACTCTGGAGCAGCAGATCTTCAACACTTCCCACCAACCATCCTGAATAACTACTTTTCCTCAAATATAGACACAAGATGATGCAATACTCTTTGAAAGCACAAGCAGAAATCTATTAAACCAAAATAGAGAACTGTCAACATTAATATCTTCTTCTACCTCTACTGATCGTTTGATTAGTGCAAAGAAACTGCATCCAGAAGGCCAAGAAGCCAGCCACGCAGCCTTTCAGGCTCGAGTGACCAGTGATCAGGACAGGAACGCTACCGCACAGCGCAAGTTAAAAGCAAAACCAACCCCAAACCCTCTTGAGAAACCTCCCCCATCCCACGTTCAGCCCTCTCTCGTCACACACAGCTTTCTGCCTCGCTTTTAACAGGATGTGAAATATTTGCACCTTCAAACCACTGCAGCTCTGCGGCCCCTTCACGCGTTTTCCCCACGACTAAGAAACAGACGGACAAACAGGCAGAGATGGCGCTGAGGGGATGCGGGGGGAAATAACGGGAAAAGCAGTACACAACGGGGCCCAGGCAACCTGAGGCACAGGGGGAGAGCCCAGAGAGCACCGAAAAGGGAGGAGGCTCAAGGGGAGGCAGCGGGACGAAGCCGGAGGCGCGGGGAGGAGAGAAGAGCCC